TTGAACCGCCAGCCGTCTGGTTAGCAGGCAAGTGTCTTAGCCACTATGCTACCAGAGCTCCTAGAGGTCTTAATTCCACAGGGAAGAATGTTCCTCCCTGGGGGGACAGCACTGATTCCTTTGAACTGGAAGTTAAGAATACCACCTGGCCCTTTGGGTTCCTCATGCCTCTGGATCAACAGGCAAAGAAGGGAGTTCCTATATTGGTTGGTGTGACTGATCCTGATTACCAAGGGGAAATTGGATTGGTATTACATAATGGAGGTAAAGAAGAGTATGGCTGGAGTAATGCATCTTAATACTGCCATGCCCTGTGATTAAAGTCCATGGAAAACTACAGCATCCCACTTCTGACAAGAATTCTAATGGCTCAGACCCTTCAGGAATGAAGGTGTGGATCCACCCCACCAGGCAAAGAACTATGACCATCTGGGGTGGTTTGTTGAGGGGAAAGGGAATATGAAGTGGGTGGTGGAAAAAGGTAGTTCTGAATAACAGTTACAACCTCATGACCAGTTGCAGAAATGAGCACTGTAATTTTTATGAGTGTTTCTTTCTTCTTCTTTTTTTTTTTGTGTATAAAAATATATGTGTGTATAGCAAATACTTTTGTTTTCTTCTTTCCCTTATCCCGTTACTAATAAAACATAACATGTAAACAGGGCTAGTACATTTTTGCTGTTATGCATGTTAGTTGTATCATGTTAGACACAAGTATGACTTTGTGTTTAGAGATTATGTATGATTTAGGAAGATGTGTACAGGTCCCAAGCTGACAAGGGGTGGAATGTGATGGTTAATGTTACATGTCCACTAGGTTCTAGGCTATAATTCTCACTATTATGTAGTTATCTTTTTGTGATGTGCTGTGAGGAGAATTTCTTTGGGGTGTGGTCTGCATCCAGTATATATGGATGTCCTGGCAGAGCACTGTCTCTCCTTGAGCCTTCATCCAACTCCTCATCACCTGACCTCCAGTTCTTGGGGCACGTGCTGACAGCCTGCCGTCTGACCTGCACATTTTGAGTTTGTCAACCTCTGCAACCCTGTGAGTTAGGAGACGCTTCCAGCTTGATGCCTAACCCACAGATTTGGGACTGGGCCAGCCTCCACAACTGTGTGAGCTATTTCCTTGAAATCAATTTCGCTTGCTGTCTCTCTCGCTCTTTCTACATATATATGTGCTTCACTGGTTTCACTCCTCTGGAGAACCTAGCCTAAGACAGATTATGTTAGCAGATGCAAGAGTATTTCAGACTTGGAATAACGTTTTCCCTACCCTTACTCCTTCAGAAATTTCAGTAATAAAACAAATCTAGAACTGGATTATTCTCTACTCCGTCAGGTATGATCTTGGGCCACTTTCTGTTTCTCAAATTTCTTTCCCTGTAAAATGGGAATAATAGTACAGCCGTGATGGAGTTGTTGCGAGGAGGAGATGAAGGCTGTAAACGGTATGGAGATCCTCTCATCTCTGTAAGGGACACAGTGGAGGTTATCGGCAGTCATCATTTTCATCACCATTAGTATTTACTACTTAGGACTTTTATTTAGGAATGGTGGCTTTTCGTAAACTTTCACTGCTGTCACAGCACATCTCATCACCCATTTTATGATAAAGCACTGAGCCAATAGAATGAAGCACCGAGATGTGTGGCTCCAATGAAATGATCAGGGCTTAGAGAGAGATGGTAGGGTTGAGGGTGGACTTCGTAGGCTGACAGGAGTGCCTCGGGGAGAGCTTCCCCCAGCGTGAATCGGAGGAGGCTGAAGAGTGTGGGGGCTCTGGGGGCACACAGACCTGAATTGAAATTTTACTCACCGTTTTGTAGTGGGGAACACACCCCTTAGCCTATGTCTTCTGTAAAAGAAGGTTGCCAGAAGTCTGACCTTCAAAGGGAGCATGAATCACTGTGAAGGTATTGACCTGCTTATCAGGTTGAAGCTGTGAAAGACAGTGATTATAGCTCTTTCCAAAGTAAAGAAATAGGCGGTGTGGTTGTTGCGCAGCCTTCCTCTGCCAGAAGCCTGGGAGTGAGGACTCAGGTGGTGCTGGGGGGACGGGGGGGACAGGGGTTGTTCAGTGTCAGCTGCTGTCCTTACCAGATGGGCTGTTGGGGCTGACACTTCCACTGTTGGCTGCGTTTGTCCAAGTTCCCGGGAAGTACACACTCTTCTTCAGAAGAGTCATGGGGCTCAGAGATTCTGTTTTCTGCTCAGTGGTAAAACTTCCTTTCCAGAAGAATTTAGCAAAAATTCTGTGCACTGTTTGGAATTGTGATTCAGGTGGAGCTTTATAATCTAGACATTATAAGGTGATTAGGGGATTGTTTGAAGTAGGGTGTGTGTGTGTGTGTGGTTGGGTGATGAGTGGGTGACAGGGGTGATGGCAACTCATGGACGGTCCCATGGTAAAGTAGGCAGTCTTTTTTCACCCTCTTTAAAATGGTCAGCAGAAGTTGTGTTTCTGTTACCCGTACATGATTTTATAATGATAACACACACACACATGTGTACACGAATGCTCCATCTCATCAGCCCACCTTTGCAAACCTATTACCTGGAGGGAATCAGGAAGTGCAGAATATCATTCACCCTTGGTTACCTTACAAGTCTGGGTGTTGGGGAGTCTTGTGGCAGAAGGCTGCTTTAGTGTTGAGTGTACACCTACGTACATGTTTGCTGTGAACTTTGTGGGCAGGATTTTAGAGTGTTAGATATACTACCTAGAAGTTGGAAAACACTGGCTTTGGGTATCAGCAGACATGGTCAAACTCACAGGCCTCAATTTCCACCACTGTATGGGAACCACATTTCACATGTCATCTGGCACCTCACACCGCACTTCCTTACATCTGTATTCCCCACTCTGCTGTGGGTTACTTGAGGGTAAAGACTGTCCCTTCTTCCCTCCATCTTCATCCTAGGTACTGAGCACAAAGCTTGTAACTGGTATTCCTATACTTTGTACAGGATGCATTTTGCTACTGATCGGCTGTGTGACTTTGGACAAATCACTTCACAGATGTTATTTATTTAAAGATTAGTTTAGATGAGGTATGTTTGATTCTCTGCCAGCAGTATTCTTATTCCGATGTTTTCCTTTTGTGCCGAATGAACCTGCTGTGTTTTCTGTGTGGCCATTGTCTTAACTGAGTACTGTCCCTGGAACTAGCAGGAGGCCCACAAGGTAAAGGGCAAGGGGGAGAGCACTGTCACTCCTGAGGTCTCTGGGAATTGGTGCCAGTGTTTCTGCTGTTTTTTAAAGAATGCTTCTTAACCAGACATTGCCTTGAAACATTGCTTTGCACCGAGTGTGCTTGTTCATTGGCCTTGTTTGTCATCAGTTACAGGTTCATGGTAATGGATCGTTTTGGAAGTGACCTTCAGAAAATATATGAAGCAAATGCCAAAAGGTTTTCTCGGAAAACTGTCTTGCAGCTCAGCTTAAGAATCGTATGTGTGCTACGTCGTTTTTGTTTTGAACAAGTTGTTTTTAATACAGTAAAGGCAGATTGGTGTTGGCGCTTGGTCCTCTGCTGGTTGTGCTTGGCACTGCCTTAATTTACTCTGTGTGGTGCTCTTGTAGCTGGATGTTCTGGAATATATCCACGAGCATGAGTACGTGCACGGCGACATCAAGGCCTCCAACCTCCTCCTGAGCTGCAAGAATCCGGACCAGGTAAGGGAGACTCTGAATCCTACACTCTGAAACCTGTTGTTTGGCAGCAAAACGGCTACTTTGAACTTTTGAACCCCACAGAAGTCTGACTTTTTGAAGTCGATGTGGTAATGACAACGTTTGTTCTTGACACTTTCATCTAGTTAACATTCTACATTTTTGATGCAATTTGTTGGCACTTTATCAAGTTGGCTATTTTGCCCTAAATAATATTCAGGAGAAGTACTTGTGATACAAAATGAATTTCAAAGAGCTGTTTGGGGGTGGAAGCTTAAAATTACATAGTGCACCGATGAATTATGTTTGCCTGTCTGCTTTGTCACTTTTTTTATTTCCTTTGTTCAAGAAATCCATCAAATGTAAGTGTTCTGTTCCTTGGAAAATTTGGTCTTTAACGTGTTGATTATTCAAATCAGTTGGCTTACGGAAAGAGCTCAGCTGTCTAAGTCTGTGTACCCGTAGTCTTTGGCATTGAGATGTGCACATCTGTGTTTTTTCCATCCTTTTCTACCTGTGTCTCGCCTGGGAAGGGAACAAAGCTAGCGTTGTTAACCTTCACCTGGGTCGGTTTCATGGGAGCAGAGAGATCTACATGTTTTCTTGCCTGTTTCCATGAGTTTGGTAACAGGAAGGTTTAGTTGACACCCATGGCTGGGCCTCTGTCTGAATGTTCTCTGTGTGTCTTCGCTTCTTACGTGATTTTGCATGAGAAGGGGTGATGGCAGTGTTTCCCTGTGCTGGGTACTTTGATGATTGTATCATTATTGTCTGAGCCCCACGTGGTACTCTTCCTTTCATAGTCATCTTCCATGTCCCCTTGCTTAGGATTTCCTTGACGTTTCTGTCTTTTCTCTTCCATCTTCTGTCTGCACCCCGGCCCCAGCTCAGGCTGGGAGCGGTGTAGAGGCGAGTTCTATACAAGTGTGACTGAAAAACGTGTCCCACAGGCCTGCGGCTTAGCTCCGCTCTCCCAGCCATCTTGTTTAGATGTTTCCAGGTGTGACACACCCATACGCACATGCACACACAGCCGCTGAGCTGGCTAGGAGCCTGAGTGAGGAGGATCCCATTAATCAAGTTGACTGGCAGTGTCTCCTACAACATGTGAGAGGACAGTGTGTTCTACCTGCAGTGCCTCCATGCACTGCCGTTTGTGCACATCAGCCTTGGGGCCTGGGGTGCCTGGGCGCTGGCTATGAGTTGGGTCACATATTGGTGCGAGATCCACTCCATGTTTGACTTCAGTTTCCTCTTGTGATCAGGAGCATCCATTTGTGAGACAGTTACCCAAAACTAGACGTGAGATATTTGGCCGTGGCATGGAATACCAACTGTCTGAGCTTTGTATGCTAGTTAGAGCCATGTGTGATGCCCACAGATGTCTATGTATATCATGTTAATTTAGTTTTAATGAAGAAGACTTAACAGTATTTAAGTACAGATAAGAACGTTGTCTAAAAGTTCTTCAGACCACTACTATCACCTGTGAAATGCCTTTGTGAATTACACTGGGATTGGTCCTTTACTCGTAGAGAGGCAGGGGAGTAGAAGATAACTCGTACCTCATGGATATCACATGCAAGTAAAATCTTGCTGAAAATAATTCAAAAATGTTTGCAGCAGTATATTCACAAAGAACTTCCAGAAATGCAAGCTGGATTCAGAAGAGGATGTGGAACAAGGGATGTCATTACTCATGTCAGATGGCTCTTGGCTCAAAGCAAAGAATACCAGAAAGGTGTTTACTTGTGTTTTATTGACTGTGCCAAAGCATTTGATTGTATGGATCATAACAAATTATGGGTAACATTGAGAAGAATGGGAGTTACAGAACACTTGATTATACGCATGAGGAACTCATACAGAGACCAGGAGGCTGTCATTCGAACAGAACAAGGGGACGCTCCATTGTTGAAAATCAAGAGAGGAGTGCATCAGGGTTGTTTCCTTTCACCACACTTACTCAATCCATATGCTGAACAAATAATCCAAGAAGCTGGACTATATGAAGAAGAACATGGCATCAGGATTGGAGGAAGACTCATTATTAATGGCCTGCGATATGCTGACGACACAGCTTTGCTTTGTGAAAGTGAGGAAGACTTGAAGCACTTACTGATGGAGATTAAAGACTTCAGTCTTCAGTATGGATTACATCTCAACATAAAAAATACAAAAATCCTCACAATTGGACCAATAAGTGGCATCATGATAAATGGAGAAAAGATTGAAGTTGTGAAAGATTTCATATTACTTGGTTCCACAATCAGCACCAATGGAAGCAGCAGTCAAGACATCAGACGGTGTATTGCACTGGGCAAATGTGCTGCAAAAGTAAAATGCTGAAGAGCAAAGATGTCTCCTTGGAAAGGTGCACCTAACCCAAGCCATGGTATTTTCACTTACCTCATATGCATGTGAGAGCTGGACAGTGAACAAGGAAGACTGAAGAAGAGTTGATGCTTTTGAGTTGGTGAAGAATGCTGAAAGTACTATGGACTGCCGAAAGAATGAACAGACCTCTTCTGGAAGAAGTACAGGCGGAATGCTCCTTGGAAGCAAGAATGGCCAGACTTCTTCTCACCTACTTTGGTCATGTTGTCAGAAGGGACCATTCCCTGGAGAAGGATGTCATGCTGGGTAAAGTAGAGGGCCATTGAAAAAGGGGAAGGCCCTCAATGAGATGGACTGACACAGTGGCTGCAGTGATGTGCTCAGGTCTAGCAAGGATTGTGAGGCTGGCACAGGACTGGGCAGGGTTTTTTTCTGTTGTCCACGGGGTTGCTATGAGTGGGAGCTGACTCGATGGCACATAACAACAACATGGGTAGCCGAGTCAGCAGGCTACCACCAGGCGCTTTGCTGTGTGAAAGTGCCTGCCAGTGTCCAGCAACAGGTATTGAGGGTTTTTTCTGCACTTGATTTTGTTTCAGACTGTAAGAGTAGAAGATTTATAATCCCTGCTCAAGTCAAGGGGACCAGATTAATTACAAGCGTAGCACATTATTGTTGAAAAACAGGTATATTGTCTTAAGGCATAGCATCTAAACTATAGCTACATAATCACTTAAAACATTTTTCTTTGGGGGAAAGAAAAAAGCCTTTCAGAATTAAGTTTGTGCTGTTGTTTCCCTTTTGGATCTGATTGTTTTATGTGCTGGGGTCTGGCCTTGAGTTCACCTGCCTGTGGTGTTTCTGTGCTTCACAGGCGGATCTGTCTGGTCCTTTGTCTTGTCTTTGACTGTGGTGCTTGAACTTTGCAGGTGTACTTGGTAGATTATGGCCTTGCCTATCGATACTGTCCAGAAGGAGTCCATAAAGAATACAAAGAAGACCCCAAAAGATGCCATGATGGTACTGTTGAGTTTACCAGCATTGATGCGCACAATGGTGTGGGTAAGTAGACAGCACTTGAGCAAGGAATACACTGCTAGTAGTTTCCAGCCCGTTCCCTTCTTAGTGCAACCCCAGTGCACTTCTTAGTTCTTTGTACATTGATTGATGGATTGATGAATTGAGTAATTTTGAAGAGGTGGGGAGGATGGGGAAAGAAGGGAGACCTTTGGCTTCTAACATTGTACATCAGGCCATCTTGAGTTCCTTCCCACCTCTTTCCTTCCAGTTTTCAAGAAAGACCAAGAAGGTTTTACCAATGAAGACTTAGTCACCTGCTGTGGGAATCTTTGTTTGTCTGTTTTATTCAGTTTAATATGAGTGTATTTCTTTCCCCTAAAAGACATCAGTTGTTTATGCAGCTGCAATTTTATGGCAAAAACCAAAAAACCAAACTCACTCCCATTGAGTCAATGCCGACTCATAGCGACCCCCTTTGGGTTTCCAAGGTGGTAAATCTTTATGGAAGTAGATTGCCCAGTTTGCCTTCCACAGAGTGGCTGGTGGGTTTGAACCGCCAATCTTCTGGTTAGCAGTCAAATGTTTTAGGCACTACACCACCAGAGCTCCTTATGACAAGTAGACTTTTATTTTGTCACCTATTAAATTAGCCTATACCTTTGGAGGTGTCCCTCTCTTCTGCACCTGTTCAACACTATGGAAGGTCTCAAAGACCCTGTTTTCTGGGCCTTTTAAGAGTTTATATAGCATTTTCAAGATCATCACATTTTCCAAGGACAGTAATAAATGTATTATTGTTTCATAACTCATTCCTGGACTCCTAGTGTCACTTTGAAACTCTAGCATTTACCAGTTTGGGTTTTAAGTAAGTGATTGCTTGGAGGTAAGTTCCATTCTTATCCTGCCCAGTGCTGATTATGTTTATTCAGTGCACTCAACACTAGGATGGAAACCAGACTCTCGAGTTGACTGGCTTTGCCTTATTGCTTCGTGGATCTTTGAAATGACACCACGGAGATGGTCTCAGTTTGTCTAATCTGCTTCTTTTGTATTTGTAGCCCCATCAAGACGTGGTGACTTGGAAATCCTTGGTTACTGCATGATCCAGTGGCTCAGTGGCTATCTTCCTTGGGAGGATAATTTGAAAGATCCTAACTATGTCAGAGATTCCAAAATTAGGTAAAGAAGAACTTTTAATCAATTATTTTGGTCCAAATAATGAGAAGGTACATGTATTTTCCTCAAAATTTGACAGAACTATCATTTTAGCTGAAACTCATGTCAGAATCAGAAAGGGGCTTGGTAAACAGCAAGTTTACTTAGTTCTTTGTGGGTTTTAGACGGAGGCCTGGGAGCGCGTTCGGGATGGTGCTGCTGGATGCAATTGTCTCTGTTATTATTTGACATTAAAGTTCTATGGCATCAAGCTTCAACCAATGACTTGGTCTTTATCTTTTTTTTTTTTTAACAGATACAGAGAAAATATTGCAAGTTTGATGGACAGATGTTTTCCTGAGAAGAACAAGCCAGGTAAGAGAGAGTTCTGAAATATTTATGGAGGTTTTGTTTTTGGGGGGTGAGGGGGGCACGTTGTCCATAGTCCATCTCTTAATGTAAGAGCTTAGGTGTTTGTAAGTGGGTCATTGTGTCCCATTGGCCCTCATCACACAGACACTGTCCTTTTCAAAAACAAAATACCTAACCCACTGTTGATTCCGACTCACAGCGATCTCCATAGGATTTCTAAAGCTGTACATTTTAACAGAAGTGGATTGCCTCATCTTCTACCTGCAGAGCAGCTGGTGGGTCTGAACTACCGACCTTCTAGTTAGCAGCCAAATGCTTTACCCATTCTGCTACCAGAGCTCCTTTTCAAAGGTGGGCTAAATTCTTTCTGGGGCCTCATTTAGTTCTTGTTCAGTGATTGCAGGAAAGGAATAGAGTTTACTTGTTAGTTCCATTCATTCATTCATTCAGCTGGTGTGTTTTGGGGGCTTTTTGTGCTCCGGGGACTGTGTGAGGCACTGGGTACCCTGTCAACAAAGCATGTGGGAAGCCTTGCCCTCAGGGAGTGAACATTCTGGTCAGGACAGCCAGTGGATACTCCGTGGTGGTACTGTGGGCCGAGCAGAGAGCAGGGCCAGGGGGCCGGTGAGTGGAGCGGGGTGAGAGACAGGAGGACGATTGACGTTCTAAGTGGGGTGGCCAGGATGGCCTCACAGAGAAGGTACTGCTGTTGGAGCCTTCGTATGGAGGTGAGGAGGGGTGAGCCAGCGCAGGTCTGGGGAAGAGTGTCCTCGGTGGAAGGGACAGGAGAGCCTGCTGTGGGTGAGGGAAACCTTTCATTAGGTTTTTGCTTTTTCTTTGAGCAGGAGTGGCAGTTTGGAGTGGGAGAGTGATGGGGACTGTGTCACTGTTAAGGGAAGCTGCTCCACCCTCTGTTCTGAGGACAGGCTGCTGAGGGAGCAAGGAGGGACCATCAGGAGGCAGACAGGAGGCCCCGGGATGAGCCGGGGCAGGGGCGGCAGGGGGTGTGTGGAGTGTGGCGCTGGGACATATGGAGAAGCCTGTCTTTATGCGCTTACTCACTCCCTGCTTCTCAGGGAGGTCTCCCGGCCGGGTGCTGTTTGTACTTGCACCCTCCCAAGCACATCAAGAGATGGCACACCATGGGTGCCGCAGAATTCCCGGGCTCTCCCTCCTAGCCTGACTCTAACACCAAGGACTTGTTTGTGGAATGTACAGAAATGAATCATACAGTGAACAGAACAAACCTCTGCCCTCCTGAAACCAACACTCTCGTTTTTTAGTGCCTTTTATCTTACAGTCAATATTACGGTTGTGGAATTTCGCCCATTGTTGCATGGCTCCTAGGGGTTTGTTCGTTTTCATCTTTATGTAGTATCTTAACAACAACAACAGCAACAGTGATATAATCATATTTACATCATAATTGATTTATCTAGTCAACTGTGGGGTGGTTTCCAGTGTTTGGCAGTCGCAGCTCTGCAGTCACATATGGAGTGTGTAGTCTGCCCACAGTTGAGTTTTGTGTATTATCTGAGGAAGGGGCCCCATTTCCTCCCCATGCTCATGCTTGTGTTCCCTTGATGGGCAGCCTTTCACCAAAAGACCATTCTTCTCTGTGCTGCCACCTTCGTCAGAACTCAGGTGTCCACATCTCTGTGGGTCTCTTGATGGCCTTGTCGTCACTCACTGTTGACCACACCACCTTACTCACTGCAGCTTTGCCTGGAGTCTTGCTTTCTGGTAGTTGTGCCCTCATGCTGTGTGGTTCTTTAAACTTGACTTTGCAGTTTTAGGATCACCTTTTCAATCTAGCCCACCCTCACATTTGCTGGAACATTGTTTGGGATTTTAAGGGT